GCCTACGGTTTACCGGGCAGTTCTATTTGACGATATATATATATATATAACTCCGACGAAACAGTTTGTCACAGCCCCTCGTTTGTTGTCCTCTTCTCTCTCTCTGCCTACGGTTTACCGGGCAGTTCTGTTTGTGACGACATATATGTATATATATATCTGTTTGTGACGCAGTTCTATTTGACGATATATATCTGTTTGTGACGATATATATATATATATATAAAATCATTATTGCTGTACCCGGTCAATTATCGCTGTACCTGGACTGCAAGTTGCACCAAAATACGGTTATAATGACCGGGCGTTCTATTCGGGGGAAGACGGTAGGGTAGAGGTTTGGGAGTATTACAGCAGTCATTTTTAGATACGGACACTCGGGGGGGGGGGGGGGGGGGGGGGGGGGGTGCTTACAGTGTTGTTTTGTCTAAAGGGGGATAATAGACACTAGCATTTGTGTGGGTTGGAATGTGGTCCGCGGGTTAGGCTTTGGCTGGAGTGCCTCGCCCATCCCAATCCCACTGACGGCAGTGAAAGATGTAAGGGACACTGGACCCAGTTCCCAGCCAATAATGAATTTTGGTTTTGAAGAAAGAAAAAGAAAAAAAAAAAGGGGCACGGCCCAGGTTGCATGGTGATTATTATGGTGATACGCCTGATTTGTTTTCTAAGTTCTAACGCAACGAGCACACAATCTGGACGGTCCAGATCCAGATTATGATCCAACGGCCTCCGAAACCGTGGTCCAAGTAGAGAGCCAACAACCTCAAAAACAGTCAGCAGCACGTTTGGACCACCGTTGAGTCAGTGGTCTCCAACCCGACACTAGAAATAGCCGTTGTCATAATGTGATGATAGGGCAGACAGACCATTATACACTGCAGCATTTCTACCTTCTTCCCCCGAATACAACGTACGGTCATTATCGCTGCATTTGGGGCATCTTTCAGTCTAAAATTAAATATACAGCTATAATTACCGTACGTTGTAGTCGGGGGAAGAAGGTAGTGCGGCATGCCGCGTCAAACCACCAGTCCATCCGAAGCTCTTCTTTTCTTTTCTTTTCTTTTCTTTTCTTTTCTTTTCTTTTTTGCCGAAAATTTTCGACCATTTTGCAGTTTTTGTGTGTCATCTTTGCGCAGGGGGCACGCTGATCTTCTCTGTACGATTCCCGTTTTAAGTTTTAACTTTTAACGGATTTACGCGTGTCATCCATCGTTGCACAGGGGCCATCCGAAGTTTAAATTGACAATTTGACAAACCAAAAAAAATCATTTTGCCGAGCCCGGCGTCTTCAGCGCAGGGCCTTCGGGAACATTGAAGGTTGGTAGTAGTTCTTTCCCATCGAACCTCTACCGCAGACTACGTACGGGGCCTCGGCACTAGAGATTTTGGTCCCAGTACTCGTAAACGTGTAAAATCTACAGAACAGGGACCGTTGGATTGGTGGTTTAAGTTGATCAATGTACTCAGGCATGGAAAACATATCCACAATTGGTGAATTAACGTCAGGCCCAGCACAGCATCTGGCAAGATATAGCCCCAATACAGCATCATGAAGAAACCAACCAAGATCGGACGTACCAGAAGATAGGACGAAAAAGAGATCTGAAAAGGCAACAAGGAGCATGTCAGACTGTTTCATTGGACTGTCAGTGTCTGTCACCGACTCGTCAGGGGGCTGAACCGCCGGCAGTCTATGGAATCCCCATATTGGTGTTTCTGAGTCATGATCCTCCTCTAAACCGGGCTGTACGCGGATGACCGACGGGCGACATCACAAGCAGTAACTTAAAGGCAAGGGTAAGGCACAGGTGATGGCTAACAATAGCAGAGAACATGGGTCATAGGGCGTGGGGGAGGTGGGTTGTTTTTTCAGCCAAAATATAAGGCAAGCAGCAGGGCAGCAGGATGAGCAGCATGCGACAAGGCAGAGGGGCAAAGGGGTAGGCAGCCAGGCAGCCAGGCAGCGAGGCAGCAACCAGGGGGGAAGGAGAGGGCAGCCAAGGACTAACACACCTGAGGGTGGACACAACCGGACAGATTTATACTGTTGGCGTACATTCTATTCTAACTGTCTTCACCCGAAGAGAATGCTGAGTCATTATCGCGGTATCTAGACTGAAATTTGCCCCGAATACAGCGACAAGGACCGGGCGTTCTTGTCAGGTGAAGATGAGGCACCAACAAAGCAACAACACAAGGCAAGCAGAATGGCAGCCAGGCAGCAAGGCAGCAAGGCAGCACAAACAAGGCAGTCCGCGCATACGGCACAGGCCAAAGCAGATCATCACCTACTCACACCACTGGTAGAACTCTAGAGACTGTAGGTTCACACCACCATCGGGGCCAGGGAGTCACTTCGACAAATGCGTGTCATCACCTGGAGAACACACACACACGCACACACACACACACAGCCAGCCAACCTGAACACAGCAGCCCCCCTAACAATAGTGTTGCAGGCACTCCAAACAAGCAGCCACAGACTATTTGGCACACTTTTAAGTTTAAAGGCTTTCACTCTGACAGAAAAGGAGCACAGGAAAATATCAGTGAACGCACAAAGCGGACGAAAGAATGAAAATCCTTCGAATGAAAAGAGCAAAATAACAGTTATAGCACTGGTAGGTAAATATGATTATGTGTGTGGCGCTGTGTGTGTAAACACACTTTGATGTAGCTCCAGTACACAACAAGTTACTCCACCTGGCAACCCCCAAGGAGAGACATGCACTAAGCAACTCGAAGACAATTCTCACATAACCCCGTAGTGGACCGAACGTTGACAGCTGAACAGTACATACAAAAAGGACAAAGACTGGAGGGCACGGGGGAGGTGGGTGGGCAAACAAACAGCACAAAACATTGAGGGCCTCGCCACACCAATGTCGAAAACTGCATTTTCGACATTTTCTCGTCGCCGCAAAGCATGTAGAACTCCGAGATGCAAAAAAATTCAGGAGCTGTCCGGGAAAGGGTTTCGACACCTCCTGTCGAGAAGGGCTCGTTTCCCAGCCTGCAACTTGCACATTTTCAACAGTCCTCGGACGGGATGTGTTATGACCCTGGCCAATTTCGAGATACACATCCACTGGAAAGTACAATGCCATCCAATTGCAGACAGAAATGAATGAACTTGAGAGGTGAGAGAGGAGTAGAAGAAGTAGAAGAAGTAAGAAAGAAGAAGAAGAAGATGTACACCAGCAAAGACAATGACAAGGCTCTTCTTCTTCACCCAACAATCTCCTCCTCCTTATCTACCCCTTCTCTTATTCAYACAAGAAATAATAATACAATGTTGAATGACTGGTCCAGAATCATGCCCGAGTCCCTTTTCTACTGCAGGTATCACTCAAGGTCCACCATAGCCATGGCTGCCTCCCCCACTCTTCACACACATAGGCCGAGGCTATGGMGGACTACTAGGCCTTGCTCCGACGTCCAAAGGACGACCCAGAGCAGCTATGGCTGCTCCAGCTCAGGCCGCCATGCCCAGCCTTGCCTTGAAGCTTCTTGGTGTAGCTCCCCCGGCTGGGGACTCCTTGCAGCAGCGCCCACCAAGGTGATGAAGATGGCTGCCACCATAGCCAGGCAAGTACCCCTGGCGCTACTCCCCCTTCCTCCTTCCTTCCTCCTTCTTCCTCCCTCTAGTCTTTCTTCTTCCTCCCCAGCAGCGCAGCTCCAACCCAGCGCTGCTCCCTCCGGCGCTCCACCAGTGTGTCGCCAAACTTGCACACCGAAAAAGAGGCCAGGTCTTCCACCCGGCCGGAAGATATAGCGGCCTGCTTTGCCTCTTGGGCGGTGACTTCCAGGCCGCTGGCCTTCCCAAGCAACCGGTACCTCTTCCTCCTTTTGGAGGGAACATCATTGCAGACTCTGATATTGCCCCTACAGGCCCTAGACTCAGACTGGTACCCGCTAGACCTAGCCTACACTACCGGCCTCTAAAAATGCCACTTTTGTCTTCTTCTGCTCGGCCTCCTCTACCTGCATATTTACCCCCCTGCCGGGTGCGGTACCGGCCTACCCGCTACTTGAGTGCTTTTTCCCTGCTGCAACCCTTCGAAGCCAYGKCCACAGGTAAGTACCGKCCCTGAGGGCCCAACGAACGAACAAGTGCCCTGGCGGGCCACACACACACACACTCATACCAACCAGCACTCAGACAGGCACGGTCACACRCGCAAGCCAACCAGCACTCAGACAGACATGCAGTCCAGCAAGCACACACACACACAGACTTAGCAGGCGGGGAACTCAGTAGGGCATTCAGTCTATGAGCAAAACTCAGAAATCAGCTGTGTTTCAGTCCGTGTTTGGACGGGTTATCACACTACCCCCCCCTCAAGAGCGAGGTCCCTTCGAGCGAGTAACTCATTTTGAGTCCTCGGCAAACGCATCGTAGGCGAGCAAGGCAAAGAGATTCCTGGAATACTCTGTTGCAGAGAGCCTTGCTGAGATCTTTGGTGTGGCGTTAGCGGCGATCTGTTGCTCGTAAGCTTTAACAACGAGCGGTGCGCTGCGTAGCAGTTCCTGTTTGGAGATCCAGTAGAGATCATCTAACGGGTGATACATGAAATGAACCTAGTACTGTCTGGCATGTCTACCACGTACGAAGGGCCAAAGTGATCTTCCCCAATTACATCCAAAACTTCCCAAGGCCCGTAGTAGAGTGGGAGGAGTTTGCGTGAGACTCCCTCCTCCTCTGAGAATTCAGACATCTTTACCCAAACATAACTTCCTACCTGAATCTCCGATGGTTTGCGCTTCTTGTTCGCATGGTGAATCATGGCATGTTGTCGCTTGGTCATGGCTGCAACAGCAACTTTGAGCAAGCGATCATACTTAGCCCTGAAGCCGGGCCTGCCGGGTGTTAAACCAGCTGGCTGTTCAGGGAATAAGTAGGAGAGTGGATTACGGATCTGCCACCCGTTGCAGCCTGTTAGGTGTCGTGGAGGTGGCAGAATGGACGGAGTTGTTGTACAACCCCTTGACAGAATACAACTCCTCATCCCATGTTTCCTGATCAGGAATGATCAACGCACGGAGTAGTTGGAATACAGTCTGGTTGATCTCCTCAGCCAAACYGTTGGCTTCGGGGTGTCGGCCAGATGTCATGCACAGTTTGATTCCAAGGTGGGACGTGAACTCCTTCCATTCAGTGTTAATGAAACGCGGGTCCCGATCGCTCGCAAAAGTCTTCGGGGTTCCGAATTGCAACAGGTATTTCTGCTGGAATTCGCGAATCACTAGATCTATTGGGGCGTGAGGCGGTAAAGGAATTAGATTGAGAAACTTTGAAAATCGGTTAACAATCACCATGACTTGTGAAAACCCRTTCTTGCTTACCTTACCCATGTCAGTGAAATCGATGGAGACGGATTCCCCGGGACCATCAGGAATGGGTATGGGTGTGAGTAGCCCCATGGGCTTTTGTCTGCATGGTTTGATTCGTTGACGGACTTGACATTCAGCTATAACTTTCTCAGCAGTCCCTTTCATACCAGGCCAATCAAACTGCCTCAGCAAATTAGCGTACGTTTTAGCCATGCCGAAGTGCCCGCTCCGGCCATGAGCCAAGTCCAAAAAGTGTGTGCGGAGAGGCTCATGGTTGGGTACACACAAACGGTCAAGGTTCCCGTATCGGCAAAAAACAGTCCTCCATACTCGTGGAAATCAGGCTGACTACTAGAATCAGCCCGCAGCTGCTCAAGGATGAACTAAGTTCCGGATCCTTGGTTGTCTGCTCTACGAGTTCCTCCTTCAGTTTCTTCCGGAGGTCGTAGGATTTCACAAGGCAAGTCATGTACTCAGGGTGGCGAGACAATGCGTCAGCGACTCGATTGTAACAGCCCTTTTTGTGTCTGAGTTCAAAGTCGAAGATGTCAATCTCATGAAACCAGCGAAGCAAGGTAGGGAACAGAGTAGTCTGCATTTTGATCCACTTCAAGGTTTCATGATCTGATAACACTTTGAAGTGGCGTCCCAACAGGTAATGTTTCCAGTGATCCAATGCCATGTGCAAAGCGTAGAGCTCGCGCATGTAGGTGGAAGTGGCTACCTCTACGCTGGGCATTCGTTTGTTGTAGTACTCGAGTGGCCGCAGGCCGTTGCCATCATCTTGTTGCAGCACCGCACCGATCCCATACTGACTTGCATCCGTAGTAACTACGAAGGTCAGTTTGGG